TGAGATATCGTACACGTCTTTAGTCGGCTTGTGTGGAATACGGAAAGTAATAATGTGATACACTTCTACCGGCGTAAACTTGAGAAACCTCTATCTCTATATCTAATCACTATTCCAAAAATAGTTGTTAAGTCTGTGGTATAATATAGTTTTAATAATAGTATCAAATCTTAATTATATTTATAGCATGTGTTGGCAGAGGTTCTTACTCTGTCGTGGTCCCTGTGCAGACGTCAAGTTAAATGTCGGCCGTTACTGCACAACTAACGAGACCGCAACGCAGCGCTAGCGTGCGGTTATGGCCACTTTGACCACTTGCACGTTTTCAAGCAAACAGCTTACAAATTGTAACAAAGTACATTTGTTGCCACTATTTCTGTTTATCTGTAGTGCAATAATAACTTTAGAGGTATTTTATAACTAATTGACCATGTAACATACATAATATACATATGGTTGTGACTCTAGTTGTTTTGTGTTCTGAATAACATTACTAATTATTGTGTATGTAAGAAAATTCTTACATAAATCCTATATAAAGTAGTTTGTACAAGTTAAAGATATAGGCAGGGTAATCCTCGACCCAAGATGTCGCCTCGAATCATTCCAATCTGGTTCAGTTTGCGAGGGCGAGGTGTCAGGTTGAATGAAATGGATTTACATGTGAACCCGTCCCAGTAGCGTCACTGTTGCATAAACTTCCGCGCCTCTGCTCTCAGATTCAAATATATCACATGGAACGTTGATGGAAGGGTTCATTTTAAAATACTATTATAAAATGTGTTTTAAACTCTTATGTTTTGTCATTAAAACTTTCAGAAATAAGTAATTCATTGCTGTATTCAAAAGAAATGTGATGAAATTACGTTTTTTCTATACATGTAATAGAATATTTCGGGCGCGCGTACACCTTTGTCTAAACTATCACATAACTGAGTAGTCGCGCTTTGATTCCTATGATCTTATATGGAGGTGTGCACACTACTCGATTTTTAGTTGTGCAACTAAACAATCGACAATCGCACAACTGTTATGCGATAGTTTAGTCAGATGTGCGCCCGCTCTTAGGTTTATTTACACAGTCACGTGTAATGACTCGTAAATAATATCCAAACGACTACCAGGATTCCTAAGCACCCTTGTTCCGGGCTTAATGAGTCTCTAAAAAAGGTTTTGTTTGTTTAATAGCTCATTTTATAAAAATTATATCTCGTATTTATTACAAAAAAGATTAAGTTTCTCAATAGGTTAGTTAAATCTTTTAGTAGTGAGATGTGATTTTAACACATCTATTTTATTGTATTTAAGATTGAACGAAATGTATTTGTTGTTAAAATAGCCGCAGCGGTATCGCAACTTCGACTCCTATTTGCAGTGGAAATATTCCGCTCCGATAGATTTCAGTTTTCAGTCTGGGAATGTATTTCATTTTAAATTGTGAACATATTTTGACAGATTGAATTTTTATTTAAACTGATACGTTTTGTATATTTCTCAATATCAAACAATTCATTCGGAGTGCAGATATATGTAGATTTTGAATATCAAACAAAGATACGCGAGAGAAGCGACGATTTTTACATTTTCCATTACGCAATCGTTTTTCGGATAACGTCGGATATTTACTTGTAACACGTGGAATTCACAAATCTTCTCATTTCTCGTTTCTACGCTGAACGAGAATA